TGCCAGTGCACTGTCTGCCTTCCTTAGGATCAGTTCAAGAACTGAGCGGGCAAGGATCCTCAGGGAAAGAGCCTCAGCACTTGGAGCTGACGAGGACTGGGAAATCCAGGGATGGCTGGGAGATCTGACCAAGTCAGGAGAAAATCCACACGGGGGATCCCAGGGCAAGAGACTGTCCAACCCTGTCAAGAGGGCTTCCACTATTAGGAGCCCATTTCTAGTAGAAAATTATGAGCTGGAGAAAGAGTAGGGCAGATGAGAGAAGTCATTTGGCTTCATGAAGCCAGAGCAGCTGGGCTGAAGAAGCCAAGACAGACAGACAGGGCATGGCAGAACTGGGAATGTCATGGGAAAGAAGCAGTGTCTAGAGCTGGGTTCCTCGGTGTAGCAGCGGCCAGCCACATGTGGCTATACAAATTTAAGTTAATTTAAATACATAAATTAAAACATCAATTCCTCAGCTGCACTAGCCACATTTCAGGTGCTCAAAAGGCACAGGAGGCTAGTGGCTATTTGACAGACAGTACCTATGCAACATTTTCATGACTGTAGAAAGTTCTATTCGATAGTGCTGGTCTAGAGGCCTCACCTCATCCCTTAGGTTTGAAATGCCTTTGTGCCCTACTTTGTCCTGCAACCTGAAAGGGAGCCCAGGCCTCAAGTGCTCTTATTCCAGAAGCTGGGGCAGGAAGGCTGCTGAGCCCTCACTGTGGTTCCATTCACCTCTCTGGACTATTCTCAGGCTGAGAGAAAGCTGAGAAGGGAAGCCAAGGTTTTGATCCCAGAGAGCTGCCAGGGCCAGTCCCCACCAGTGTCCTCCCTGTGGGGATACGAAGAGGCAGTGAGAACTGGCTGCTCCCTGAGTGGGCAGCAGCCAACGGAACAAGGTAAGTCTCAGAAGCAGCAGTCCCTGCTTCCTCCCCCATCGCCCTTGCTGAGTCATTGTCACAGCAAATCCCAGGCAACTAAGTCAATCATCACCCCTTCTGGTACTAACACCTGTAGCTGCCAGCGTGACTAGCACTGCTGGAGCCGGGCTTCTGCCTCTCCCTCCACAGTGATCTCAGAGCTGCCCAAAGGGGCTGAAGCCCCGGGAACACCCGGGGCATCGTCCTGGCCATAAAGGACTTGTGGGTGGCTCCTTTTTCTCCTGCCGTTCTCACCTTGGGTGAAGTTCAGTCTGGAGTTTTAATTGGGATTGTACTGAATCTATGGGTCAGTGTGAAGAGAAATGACATCTTTATAAGATTGAGTTTTCCAATTCATGAACATGATATATCGCTCCATTTACTAAGTTTTCTTTAATTCCTCTCTATTTACAGTTTTCTCTTTAGAGATTTTAGACATGTTTTGTTAAATTTATTCCTAAACACTGCATATTTTTCAGTGCTTCTCATAAAGTGTATCTTAAATTTTTTTCTGTCTTTTCTGATAAATTTCAGCTCATGATAGGAGGGCAGTCCAGCTATTTAGTTACCTTCAGACCATTCTAACCAAAGCTTTTTCAGCTGACCAGCTTGGTCCTGCAGGTGCAAGGCTGTCCTCCCGCTCTGGGAAGGAATTCCCTGTGGCTTGCTATTAGGTGTTCCAGTCAATATTGCTATCATCCCTCCCACTCTTTTCAGACATCACCCTAATCCCTGAGGTTGTACAGGGACTGAATTTCTCTAAACTGGTTTCTATTCACCCACACTTTTTGTGTATTTGGAAAAGAGTGTGAATTTAAGGAGCGGGGCAGTTGGCTTGAGTAAATTTACTTTCGATGGAGTGGTAAGGAGGACAGAGAGACATGAAGAACTTGGGAACATCAGTCGCAGTGAAGACAATGAAAGAATGAAGCAAGAGTACAGACTGGCCAACGGAACGACCACCCAACCAATCACAGAAACAAAACAGTTAGAGAAGAAAAGCCGAGCAGTGACAACTTCAGATTACTTCTCCCTGCTGTGACTAATATCAATCTTGTACATTCTTGCTGCCTAACCGTCCTTTTACAGCTAATGCTTACAAGTGCAAATTCATACATATCATATATGAACAACTGCGCCAGGGAAATAAAAGGTGCAGAACAAAATCCCAGTCGATGGTGAGATATGGAAGCTGTTCTGTATTTCCCGTCACTATTAGAAGCCACTGGTTCTTGGGCCAGATCCACCTATGTGTTTCCACCAGAGCTTCAAAGAGTTTGGTTTTTCTGTCCAAAATTTTTGGGGATGCTTTTCCTGGAGTCTATTTCTTTCTTTTTTCTTTTTTTAAAGATTGGCACCTGAGCTAACATCTGTTGCCAATCTTTTTTTTTCTTCCTTCTTCTCCCCAAAGCCCATAGTTGTATATATTTTCAGTTGTGAGTCCTTCTAGTTGTGGCATGTGGGACGCTGCCTCAGCATGACCTGATGAGCAGTGCTAGGTCCACGCCCAGGATCCAAACCGGTGAAACCCTGGGCCGTCTAAGCGGAGCGCGTGAACTTAACCACTTGGCCACGGGCCGGCCCCCTGGAGTCTATTTCTTAATGAAGAACATAGTTTGATTAGAGCCCAGGGAACCTTGCTCTCCTCCTGCTCCTCCCAACTTGTCAGCCTTCTTTGGCCAGCCAGGTCCAGTGACCTTACCCCTCTATTGCCAGAAGGCCCTTTACAGGTATTCAGAGAAAAGATCCATTTTCTTTTCTCTTTACATCACAGATTGACTGTGGCATGTGTGAAAGGCAAACAGCCCCAGGATTGGCTGTCTTACTGCTTTGGAAAAAGTCTCTCTTATTTTACCCCATCTTCTCACAATAGAAAATCAGGGATGGAGGAAAGTAGGAGGAACTCTCTGGTTTAGACCCCCAAACTGGTGACTTCCTAGGGAGTTGGCTTGTTCTGTGATGTGCAGGATTTCGTCGAGTGTCTTTCAGGTGCCGATTCCACTTTCCTTCAGGGCAGGTTTGCCCAGTGCGTCTCCGAGCTCCGGAGGCTTGATTCAGGAGGCCCACTGCAAGGCTCTGCAGCCCGCTTCAGACAGCACCAAAACACTTCTGAGTCATTTGTGGAATGACTCACGGCTTTGAAATATTCCAACCGTGTCTCATGAAACTAGTTGAAAACGATGCCGGTTTCTCTACTAGAGGCTGTCATCTGAGACTGAAGCTCCACTCAGCAAGGCTTCTGCATTCCCAGCCTCAGCTGGTCATGTTGCCATGGGCTGTGAACCTGTCAGTACTTCTGGGCCACATGGCTGGGCACAGGACCATAGGTGGGCAGAGGTACCATGGGCCCTATAGAGGGTGGCCAGGGACACTCAGTGGTCTTCTCTAGGCCAGGACAGAATTTATGTCCCTAAACGGGATTGGGTTTGGAAAGGAAAGTGAAAAAGAGTATATTTGCTGCCCTGGAGGACGTATTACTATTATTGTCACCATGACATGCATTAGGAGTCATTCACTGAAAATCAGCCACGATTCCTAGGCATTCTTTGAGTGAAAAGAAGAATCAGCATTGTAAGAACACTGGCTGCCTTATCTTCGAAGTCCCTCAAAGGTTGTTTGCCTCCTTCTGAAAAGTACCCAGCAGAACACTTGACGTGGAAAGGTGCATGCTAACAGTGTGGTGTGGTGCAAAATATATCAACTAAAAAGTCAGAGGTGCTACATTCTATTCCCAGTTCTGCCATTTCATAATGGTGTAATTAATACTACACATAATTGCTCTGAGCTTCACTTGCCTCTTTCGTAAGATGAGGATGCTGATCTGTCTTGCAGGGTGCTTTGAGGATTACATGCAATGAGGCATGTGTAGTACATGGTAGGTTATCAAGAAATGTTAGCTGAATATTAATTCAAGGAAAAGGATGAATATCTTGTCAATGAACATGGATGCAACAGCCAAAGAGCACTCCTCCTGCCCTGATTAATCCTGGGACAAGTAAAAATTTGAATAAAAATCGAATATATGGTCAAGAATTCTTTCTTTTTGCCTCCTGTTGATCTGTGTTGCATCTGGAAAAACTAGCAAAGGAGAGGAAGAGAAGGCTGGGAAAGCTGGAGAGGTTTTCTCAAGTCTGTATCTGTATACTTAGAACCAACTTTTTCCTCTCATTGCTCTCCAAAAGGTGTTGCAGCAGCCAGGGGAGCCACTGAGTTGCTGTTGTACTCTCCCTCAGAAGCAGCTGTCCATGGTGTGAATCCCAGGCCAGTGGATGCTTGTGACCCTGACCTGTCTTGAGGGGTGGAAGTTGGAAGGTGATGCCCAAAGCAGTTTATTCCTCCATTACCCAGGACAGTGGTGGTGGGGCCGGCTAGGGAGGGCACAGGTAATCCAAGGCAAGAGGCAATCCAACCTTCCCCACCCTGCCTCATTCACCCAGTGGTTCTAATCTTTTCTCCTGACTTTTTTTTTTTTTCTAGAAAGTGTCTACAAGTAGCAAAGCACAGATATTTGGCTGTAACTGCCCTTCCTGTACTGGAAGTGCAATGGAGCAATTGAGGCAGGAACAGGAGGTCCCATAGGCTGCGACACTGAGCCCCGAGCAAATGCAGCCCTGGCTGAGCTTTTTACAATGAGGTTGGTCTGTGTGGCCGGTGAAATGGGAGGATAACGGCAAAGAGGCCTGAGTGGACCTGGAGGGCTGTGCCTGAGGAGGTTTGGTTTGCCAGTTTGTGGGCATAGTTTCTTCCAGATTATGTACTTGAGGATGGGGCCAGAGACAGGGTGGGAAATGGGAGAAGAAGGACCATGATCTGCCTCCCCTAGAAGGAGAGGCTCAGCTCAGGGAGGAGTGTGTTTCCTGTATATCCCAGCCATGGTCTAGACCATGAGCTGAGATTCTATTTCAAGGAGTTGGCCTGGCTCAACTCTTGGTAGGCTTAGGAGTTGGAGCATTTATCATCGGAGAAGATATGGTCCTCCACCGATTACTTTTGGCCCTTGCTCTCCTTCTTTCGGCACTGGCACTCCCACCTCCCCTTCTTCTCCATCCCTCTGGCACCTGTAGACCAGGAGCCTTTTCTTCAGAGGCTTACCTTGGGTTTGAAGGCAATGAGCTTCAGGATCATCTCCACCGTGAAGAGGCCCGTGAAGAGCATGTTGAGGATGTTCATGGCGATTTTGAAGAGGCAGCTCTGACCGTAGTGCTGAAGGGAGGGAGGACTGTGAAAACGAGGCAGGGACAGCCCCACACCAGCCCCACCTTCCTCTCAACAGAGATCGTCCTTGAGCCAAGCCCTGGAAGGCCATCCACATCTCCATGGGCAGTCAGATGGATCAGAAAATCCTACAAGTTCTGCCCGTCTCTGCCATCTCTGCAAACACAGGCCAGCAGAGCTCTGTGTTCCCGCTTTGATTGGCTATGACAACTTCATGGAGATTCCTGGCACTCAAGAGAGCTCTCACACAAGGTGACCTTCCTGAAGACAGAGGATGCAGAATCAACCTCCACACCCCACGCCTTACTGACAACAAGCAACACTTCAAGCTCACCTTTTGTTCTCCATTTCTTTCACTCTCTCCATTTTATCAAACCGGGGTCCTACGGATCCTTTCATAAGGTCCCAGAGAGGAGCTCCTCCTTGAGAAGGGACACTTGTCTTTCTCCAACTGGGAGAGGAAGACAGTTCTGCTCTTTCTGCCTCCCTTGGCCAACATGCAGGTGACACACTGGACATGATCATGCAGCTCTTTCATACTTCATATCCTCCCATAGCATTCTCTACCATGCAGGCATCGTGGGCCCAGGGTCCCCCTTGGACTGACCTGCATGGCCAAGCAGATGGTGTTGAGCAGGATGAGGACGAACATCAGGTACTCAAAGTAGGTGGAGTTGACCACGTACCACACTTTGTACTGGTGCTGGTTCTTGGGGATGTACCTCCGCAGGGGCCGGGCCTTGAGGGCGTATTCCACACACTGTCGCTGGGAGGGAGGCAGTGGGAGGGGTGGGGCAGGAATGGGGGGAGAGTAGGGTTAGTAGTCTGGATAATGGTGGGGGGATGGCAGAGGAGGGTGGATGTAGATGAAACTACACACCCTGGGGCAGGGTTCTCTGAGAGTCAGAGAAATAATCTACTGCTCTAACTCATTTACAGGTTTGAGATGTTATTTGGACATTTTTGTGACTTCCTATCACTCCCTTAATCAAGGAGAGCATCTCCTCTCATCAATCTCCTTATCAAGGTTTAGTCAAGGGGTTGCTATTGCATTCTTTCCAGTTCACTGATGCCTAGTCGACTGCTGATGTGTAACCGGCATTTGATAAGTCCTTACTGACTGACTGATAGCTGGTCTTCTCATTGATTGTTTCCTATGCCACAGACTCTCCTTGGGGCACTTCTCTCCTCAATTTTTCTTTCCTGTCCTAAATCAGTCTTCCTTATTTACCAGTGTCCACAAGATCAAAAGGCAGAGTTCACGGGTAGGGGTGAGATCTTGGCTTAACTAGATTCTTGAGAGTCCAGCACAGATCCAGGCCATTCTCTGCACTGTGCCCAGATTCCCAGGTCAGGAACTGAGGGTCACTGCAGCCTCTTCTCTTACCTTCCACCTCCTGTCCAGGCTCTGAGCCTGACCCATTTGATCTCCTCCTATTCTCCCCATCTCTAATACCGTTAACTGATAGTAGATCAGGGTCTAATCATCTCTCATCTACACTTTCCAGTTGGCCTCCTTCTTTTCCTATCTTACTTCCAATCAAAGTCCATACAGCAGCCAAAACGATGAGTCTAAACCCAAGATGTTGACATCACTCCTCACGAGTGGAGCTGCCAGCTCTTTTTCACAGGCTAATAGAACACACCACAGTACTGGGAATTACTGTGTCACTCCCACTTAAACCTCTTTCCTGCCCTACCTCATGCACAGGCCTCTGTATTTTACTTAAAAAATCATTCACTAGTGAGTTTCTCTTCCCCATCCCCACAGCTCTGCCTCCCTCATGGTTCTAGTTTCTCTCCTCCTTATCAATTGTGCCACGCCACACGGGCACTTTCTAACTTGTTAACTTCTAGATAGGGTATGAGGTCTTTTTCCCACAGGGTCTATCACAAGGTTTCCTTAGGTAGAAGCTTAACAAATATTTGTTGGCTGAATGTATTTGCCAGATCTGGGTTTGCAGGATTTGCATTTCTTTGGCCTGGGCCCTTCCAGAAGACTGAGAGCCCTATTCTGCTTGTGGAGACGACAGGTGATTTCAGTATCTGCCTGGGTCTCTCGCCTGATTATAGCCTCTCTTCTGGGTGGGCCACAGGCTGCCGCCACTCCTCATGTGACCCTGCTCCCCCTCACCGCCCTGTTCCTCTTCTTCTTAGGAAGCTACCTGGTTCTTGTCCAGCTCACAGTTCTTGTATTCCTGCTCCCCCTGCTCCTGGAAGGTGACGATGACGAAACCCACGAAGATGTTCATCATGAAGAAGGCAATGATGATGATGTAGATGATGAAAAAGATGGAGATCTCCACGCGGTAGTTGTAGATGGGGCCCTTGTCTTCCGTGTGGGAGTCGATGGAGCGGTACAGCAGCCTGGAGGAGGAGACAGGCGCCACAGAGGGAACTGGAGAAGCAGCGTCACCTCTGCGGAATGATGGCACCACTGCTGCTAGCGAGCCCTGGGATCAGGGGTGCCGGAAACAGCGCTAGGCTAGGAGTCAGAAGATCTGGGTTCATGTCCCAGCTCTGCCACTTACCGGCCATCTGACCTTGAGCAAATCACTTAACGTCTTTGAGCCTCACATTCTTCATCTATAAAATGGAGATAATAATTCCAGACTTTCCTACCTGGCAGGATAGTTGATATAATGTATACGAAGGTGTTTTGAAACTGTCAAGAACTATTTAAATGTAACATGAGTCATGGACATTGACTTCAAATACTGGAAATGTTGGTAAATATTGAAACAGCTTTGCAAACTAGCATAGACTCAGAGGGTGTTACAGTGAACATAAAATAAACCTGTCTGAGAGTAAATATTCATTTAGATAAAAATACTAGATAAAAAATGACCCAGGCTTATTCGATCATCGGCAATGGTTTGGATTGATACTCAGCTGGTTTCCATGCATACGCCATTGACGGGCCTGGGACACGTGCCCAGGAAGCTTGTTTCTCTTCACGGACAGGGATTAGCCCCTCTCCTTTACTACCTTGCACGGCACTTAGTTATTCTGCAGGTATTTTCTATGTTTTACCACATAATACTGGTGACTCTCATCTAAGATTCATGTGCTGTTGTTGACTTGGAAATATTTAGAATTTTCTGACTTTTAGATGATAATTTCACTGGGATACATACTGGGGGTGAGGGAAGCGGATGTCTGTATGAAGATATATGGAGCACCTGATGGATCAGCTGCCTGGTAGAGGTGACGCGGTGTAAGGCCGACCAGGCTGGTCTAGGCATTACCTCTGCAGAGGAATGTGGACCCGGGCTTCCATCCCTTTCTTACTTTCCATTGTAAATATAGACAAAGCCTTCTCTAAGGAGAGTAGGGCAGAGTCTGGTGAAACAGAGACATCTCCGCCATCTTTACTCACAGTGAGTGTACACTGGGAGTGGGAATCTTCAATTCTGCGGTGAGCCAAGGGCCCACACCTGCAGAAACTCTCCCCGCACCCCACGCCCAGAGGCCCTGTCATCGTGGCTCACTCTGAGGTGGGGAAGCGGAGCTAAAAGAAGCTCATTTTTGGTTGGAGTTTCTGAAATGTTGACATCTTCTAGAAAAAGAAGAGTTTATGTTTCAGCAGGAACCATGGCCTACAGATTGTTCTAGAAACACATCCTCATTGCCTGGGGAGGACACAGGTAAGTATGACCTCTGGGAAGGAGCGTGGGGTAGTATCAAAACTTGGGGAGTGTGTGAGGGGCCACTGTCTTGGCCTCTACTATCAGGGCAGATAGGCCTTGACATGCATACTCACTCTGGCCACCCCTCAAAGGTGGAGACCGTGAAGAGGGCCATCATGGCCGCCAGAACATTGTCGAAGTCAAACTTGCTGTTCTCCCAGCTGCGGGGCTGGATGATGGGGTGGTCAACTTCCCCGTCCTTGTATGTGATGTAGTTACCCCTGAGAAGGGAGGAGAAGGAGTTAATCTTGGGGTCCCCCATCTCCCTTCACACCTGACCCACCAATGACTCCTGGCATGTTGGGTGGGATGGGACCGGCTAGGCTTAAACCCCACAGTTCTAGCCATTGGGAAGAACTTCAGTGGGCAGAACCTTCAGGAATAGAGAATGTTACATGTCATGGCAATGGGACCAGACTACCCAGGGGTAAAAGTCCAGCTGCCACTCTGTCTGAGGAAGAATGGGATGACCCTCCTCTCACGCCCAGAGTTATCCAACCTGGGCTCTGGCTGCCTCCAGCCTGTACTCACTTGCATTCTGCCTCGGTCTGTTTGGAACTATCTGAACAGGTGTAGAGCTTTCCCTGGAAGGCAGAAGAACAAAGTGACTGGAGATGCTCATTAGTCATGAATCATTTTATCATGAATCCTTATTAATCATGAAGCAATCAAAAGTGATTAGTGATCATCACTGTGGCCCAGCACTGTGTAGGGACTTGGGGCAACAAAGTGTGAGGAGAACAGAATCCAGATGGGGACGACATAACTCACTTACACAAAGCAGTCAGCGAATGAAGATGCTCAGTGCCGCAAGCACCATTGGGATTCAAAGGAAAGGGAACTCCAATCCACGCGAGCTGGACTCTTTAGGAAGGTCTCGCGAGGAAGGTGGACATGAAACTGGGCTTAGATGGAGGAAATCAGTGGAAGTTTATACGGCGGGGGGACAAGGCAGGGGGAGGAATGCTTCAGATGGGAGAATAGTAGGAATCAAAGGATTAAGGCAGAAAAGAGCAGAAACCAAGGAGGAGGCTGGCCTCCCTATAGCTGAGGGGCCTTGCCAGGAAGCAGTGAGAGAGAACCTGGACAGAGCCAGGGTTCTGAGAGCTGGGCAGAGAAGGGTGACAATGCTGTTGATAATGGGGAACCACTGTGTATTTTAAGCAGGCGACTGATACTGAGGTGTCAGAGCATGAGCCCTTCTCCCTTTCTTGCCAGAAGGAAAGGCAGGGACCTGAAGGGCAAGTGGCGCTGAGAGAGTGAGGGGTCTTTGGCCTGGTGGAGCAATGCCTCCTTCTAGGCTCTTCCCTCTTCTGGTTTGGGAAGCTCAGAAGAGGCCTGTGATTGGAGGTTACATTCATCCCAAGTCTGACCCAGGCGACTGTCCTCCTCCTGTTGTATCTGCCAGCTCCCTTTCCTGGGAATTCTGATAGGAGAAGAAGGAAGCAGGACCACAAATCAGAGCCAAGACTAACCTTGAAGAGCTGGACCCCAATGCAGGCGAACATGAACTGAAGCAGTGTGGTGACAATCACGATGTTCCCGATGGTCCGGATGGCTACGAACACACACTGAACCACGTGCTGCAGTGGGAAGAGAGGGCAGGGCAAGGAGACATGGTTTCAGCGCGTGCCTTCCTTTAACGGGTCCTCTCTGAGGAGGCAGCATGGGTAGTCCCTTTACCACAAGTGGGGGAAATTAGACTCAAAGAGGCAAAACACCTTCCCAGGGTCACATCGTGGTGGAACCCAGCAGAACTCAAAGTCCTCCATTGGACTCAGGTGACTACAGGGATAAAAGCCTCGCTAAGTGAGGTGAGGGATGGGCTGGAGGGTCATTTTATAGGGGTAGGAATATAGGCACCTCATCACCATGTGAGGGCATTGGGTTTCTGTGCAGGTCTTCTTTTTGCAAAAATTTTGCTTTGGAGTTGAGATTTTGAATGGCTGCCTCTGTCATTGTTCTGTTTATGGAACCAGGACTTGAAGTGGGACCGGAGGTGTAGGCAGGAGAGTCCAGGCTTCCAGACAGCAGCCACTTGGCCTGACCGCAGCTTCTCCCTCTAGCCCATCCCTCACCTCACTTAGCTTTCACCAACTCACAGACCAGTTGATGCCTGCTGGGTAGATGGCTCTCCACCTACGCCCACCGAGCTCACCTTTAGCCCCTTGGCCCTGTTGATGGCCCTCAGAGGCCTGAGGACTCGGAGAACTCGCAAGATCTTCACAACGTTGATTGCACTGGACCTGAGAGAGAGCAACAGGGCAGGGGAGTAAGCTTCTCCTGCTTGTGGTGAGGAGGTGTCCTGACAGGCTAATCTCAGGCAAACTTGAGAAAACGTAAAGTCTGTTTGGCAGACTTTCTCATGCTGGGACCATTCTCTACTCCCATCTCCCACCCCAAAAGAGCCTGGAACTTGCCTGTGACCCTGGGACTTTTCTGTTATTGAGTAAATAATATGAAAAGCAATTCACCATGAGTCATTAGCAATATAATGTGCTGCTCAAGGTGGGTGTTTACAGTGTCAAAGAGAAGAGGTTTAGATGAGGCAAACCTGAATTCAGACCTCAGCTTTGCACTTACCAGCCAAGTCACCAAGGGTGAATTTCCTAACTTTTCTGAGCCCTAGTTTCTTCAGCTGTAAAGTGGGACAGTAATCACCTCATAAGGTTGTTGCAAGGATTAAATGAGAAAACGTACGTGAATCATCTAGCAGTGTGCTCGGCACAGGTTACGAACTGAATACAGATCTTCCTTGACTTATGATGGGGTTTTGTCCCTATAAACCCACTGTAAGTTGAAAATATCATGAGTCAAAAATGCATTTAATACACCTAACCTACCGAACATCATGGCTTAGCCTCGCCTACCCTAAGCGTGCTGAGAACACATACATTAGTCAACAGCTGGGCAAAATCATCTAACACAAAGCCTATTTTATAATAAAGTGTTGAATATCTCATGTAATTGATTGAACACTGTACTGAAAGTGAAAAACAGAATGGTTGTCTGGGTGCAGAATGGTTGTAAGTATATCAGTTGTCTACCCTCGTGATTGTGGGGCTGACCGGGAGCTGCGGCTGCTGCTGCCCAGCATGAGGAGAGAGGATCGCACTGCATATCGCTAGCCCAGGAAGAGAACGACATTCAAAATTCGAACTACGGTTTCTACTGAACGTATATTGCTTTTGTACCATCGTAAAGCCGAAAACTCATAAGTCAAACCATTGTAAGTTGAGGATTGTCTGTAAATGGCAGTTTTTATTATTATGCCCGATGAAGACATCATTGAACCTGAAGAAATACCATACAAACGGTGGAACTTCAGGCCTGTGGCTGCAGGTGGTGCGCATGGTGAGGAGATATTTTGCTGCTCATCCCCAAAGGCATGTCCTGGGGAACTGCCCAATACACTCATATGTAAAACCCACTCTGGCGTAGCACATGGCAGCACTTGAAGGAATAGATTCTATACAACAGGTTCCACACATTTGGCATGCCAGGGCCTTGCCAGAACTCCCGGGAGCCTCAGGCCACTGCTGTTCCCTGGTGGAAAGAAGATACCAGGGCGCAGGTCCCTCCACAGGCCCCTCGGCAAGAGGCCTGTGTGATTTCTGGAGTTATCCATCAACCCAGGTGGGGCTTATCACCACGCCAGGCTGGTGAGCAACTAAGGGCATCCCAACCCTCACATGCTAACCATCTGATTGGGACGTCCACTCAAGCTTTTGGCGAGCGTTATACCCACCTCAGGACCTAAAACATGTATGACACGTCAGCAAGTGCTGATTTCATTCTTCACGTTGTCAGGATGATACTGACAAACAAATGGCAAGCAATAGGACATACTGGAGTATGGAAGCCATTGGGTGTAAGCCTAATTGGGCCTGACCTTGTTTTTCCAAAAGGGTCTGACATGGCCATTGAGCATGCATTGTACATCTGTTTTAAGCATTTGCTGTGTCCCAAAGGCAAAAACCAATGGCCTTAAGATAAAGATGCAACTTCCCCCATGTTGGCACTTCCTTAAGGATGAGCATCTCTCCCTAGACTAGGAATTGATTGCTGTGCTCACCCATGACCACTCAGACTGAGACAGCAGATCTGTCACCCTGCTGCGTCCACCAAGACAGCAGACCTACTACCTGCTGAGTCCATCAATCACTGTGCCAACAGGGCAGTCTCGTGACCCTTGTAAAAGGGACATTTCAGTCATATGTGACACGTGTTCTTTGAGGGTATATAACCACTCTGTACACCCCACTTCTTGGTGCCCTTCCTTCCTTGGGGAAGGAAAGCCCTGGGCTAGGCTAGTCCTCAGACCTGGCTCAGAATAAACTCACCCCAATTTCATTTATAGATTGGTTACGGATTATTTACATCAACAATATACTCAAGAGGGACCTGGTAGAAAATTGGATTTCTCTGGTTCATGCCTTTTGTATTCCAAAGGATTCAGAGGACATTCCTATCTATCCCAGTATCTCAGGGAGGGAGTCCATTTGCATCGAATCACTATGGAAGGGCTTTAAAGGTTGGGAGAGCACAGACCAAAGGGGAGAATTCCTGGTTCAAGGTTAAACAGGATTGAGTGGTAGTGCTGGGATTAAAATCTAGACCTTTAGACTCCCAGGAGGACAGTTTTGGGTAATATAATTGATGATCACATCCTAATGCCCCCATCTCCACTCCTTCTAGCCGATCATGAAAACACTCTTGGGAAGGGAGACCCAGAACCCTCTTCTCTGCCATTGGTGTGATCTTGGGAAGTCTCATGTCCTGAACGTCAATTTTCCTATCTATAAAATGATGGTAACTGTGCGTGCCCTGCCTACCTCTGAGGTTTTTCATGAGGGCCTTAGAAGAATGTGTATGTGAAAGTGCTTTTGAAAGTTAAAGTGCAGGGTTAATATTATCAGCTGATGGAACTTGGGAGAAACTCATAACCAGATCCTCTTAGAACTGAGCAAGTTCGCAGCCTTGGTTGTACAGCAGAGTCACTTGGAGAGCTTTTAAAACTCCTAAAGCCCAGGCTGTCCCTCAGACCAACTAAATAAAACACGGTGGGGGAGGGATCCAGGCAATGTCTTCTTTAAAGCTGCTCAGGTGGCTCCACTGTGCAGCCAAGATTGAGAGTCAGTAATTCCTCTCTCTTGCTCACTGGCTCTCTCTCTCATCAGCTGCTTTGACTGGGGAGAGAGGTGAGAGAAAGGGAGGGAGGATGGACGGGGGAGATCAGGGTGGGCCATGGCAATGGTAGGCCGTTGGAGTTGAGGGCAGCCAAGGGCACTGGGCACTCGGCGGAGGAGGGAGGAAAGCCCCTCTCCTTATATCTGGGTCCAGCCCTGCCTGTCATGGCAAGATCCAGATAGTTAACATCTTCTTGCGGGATCAACGTACCCCAAGGCTCACACCATTGAGGACATGAACACAAGAAATGAAAGCCACCATGCGGTACAAGTCAGAAGCCCCACCCCATTCCCATCACAGTCACACTGCTGGCTGTGCAGGAAGGCCCTCCAGAGTCTTGGTTTCTTGGTTGTCCTTTCTGACACCCATTCCTAGTTGCATGCCCCCATCTTGGGCTGAGGGAGCCCTACTCACTGGATGCCAAAGGAGATGAGGGATACGCTGACCACCAGCAGGTCCAAGATGTTGAAGTAGTTCCGGCAAAAAGAGCCCTTGTGCAGGAAAGCCCCATAAGCAGTCATCTGCAGGGAGGCACAGAGAAACACCAGCATGAGTGGTTCCTGTCCAAGCTCCAGAGACCCCCTCGCACCACCGTTTACTCCCACAGCATCCCTTGGGCAGGGCCCAGTTGAAGGGCAGTGGGGTGACAGAGGAATGAGGGGCAGGCAGGACTGCAGAAGGAGATAGTGTCAAGAAAAGCGTTCTGCAACTGTTTCTACAGCCACCAAGGAATTCCCCCAGCTCCAGATGAATAAGTGGCTCCTTAGACCTACCCGACCACGTCCCACTCTTCAATCCTTGTTTGAAGCCCTTTCACACTGGCCAGCCATCCCCCTCTCATTTCCACTGTTCCTCATCGCAGGTGGCTCCAGCCTGAGGGGCCCTGTGCTGAGGCTGCCCAGGGCTTCCCTTGTATGCAAACTTCCCAACCTCCTCTCCAAGCTCTATCTGCCCTCAGGGCCAGCTGAGGCATCCGTTGGGGTGTGTCCAGGAGGGTCAGCAACCGTCCTGGTTTTCCCAGGACATTCTTGGTTTAGTTCTGAAAGCCCAGTGTCCTGGGGCAGCCCCCTAGTCTCAGGCAAACTGGGACAGTCACTTTAATGCCAGGAGAGAAGTTCTACCAATAACTGGCAATTAGGATCCCTCCACTTCCCAGCCTCAGATAGTGCTTATGATGTGTGCCAAATATTCTAAGCTCAATTCTACTGTCTTGCTTTTAGACTGTACGTTCTTTAAGGGCCACAGCTGTGTGTTCACAGGGGCAGCACGGTACAAGGATTACGAGCACAGGCTCTGGAGCCAGGCCTCCTGAGTTCGAATCCCAACCCTACCGTATTTTATTTGTCTGCCTGCAGCAAGTTACTTCTCTGCGTCTCTGTTTCCTCATCTGAAAGATGGGAGCAATGAGAATATCTATAGGGCTGTAAGCATCAGTTGAGTTCTTACGTGGAGAACACGAGCCTGCAGACAGTGAGCCCTATATAAATGTTAGATGTCATTGAACTGAACTTGGTGCCAGAGAGCTTGAATTTGGATTTCAGATTCTTCCCGTGTGAGGGAAGTTCCGTTTCCTCATCTATAAAGTGGGTGTACTCTTCCCTGCTTTTGTGAGGCACCTGTAGAAAATCTACACAGAAGCCCTTTGTAAAAGAAAAGGGGAGCACAGGGGATGACAAGGACTGTGACAGGCCTCCCTCAGAGCTTGATATAAAGCCACTGTGGGTGCTCAACAAACAGCCTTTCCAATTTTGTTGGCTTGAATTCAGGGCCAGTGGATTTCCAGGTTAAGGGCTATGAAAGGCCATGGGCCACGAAGCATCAGCCAAAGGGAGAAATTAGGAGCTGAAGGCTGAGAGACGGAGAGTCTGGTCATCTGGGGTCCAGTGTCTCTCTTTGGAATCAGAGCATCTCCAGGGCGCATGTCTGCAGAGCAATTCAAAAACCAACACAGGGGAAATTGGCAAAAATAGCTCTTGCAGCCTAATTCTTTCCATTTATCTCTTGCTGCAGGGGGTCACAGGGGACGCAGGCACCTGTGTCCTGCAGCAGTTTCTGGAAGTGGCTACATTATATAAAAGGCTGCAGGGGACTATCGCTGGAGATCTCTGCCGAGGCCTGCCATCTGGAGTTCACTGCTGCCCCATCTCTCAGCGGAGATCCGGGACCCCAGAGACTGGTCCTGGGCAGCTTGTGCTAACCCCAGAGGCTCCGTGCCTGCAGAAGGCCGAGTGCCTCCCTGAGCCACTTCACTTTCAGCCTTAGAGAAGGTGCCAGGTCTGATCTCACCTCGCTCCTGGCTTGGATGTTGTGAGGACACTACTGAGCTCCACGAGCTGTCCACACTCGGGGACAAGCATTCCTCAAATAGGTGGACTGCTTGGGCTCAGAGGGCCGACTTTTGTTCTTTGACTTTGGGCTCCAGTTTTGTCAGGGCACCTGGAATAAGACCAGCACTCCAGAAAGTGCGTGTGTGTGTGAGTGAGTCTGTGTGTGTGTGTGTGTGTGTGTAGGGGCAGGGGCACGCGCCCAGGCAGGGCCAGAAGAAGAGCGGCTATTGGAGAAAGGGCAAGTGGACGCTGGAAAAATGGAGCATTCATTTGTAAGTTACCTGTGGCATTTGGGGCTAAGACAAGGCCAGGTTCAGGTACCTAGTGCACATGTCCTTCCTTTACCCTGTTTGCTGATTGCCACCCACCCAGTTCCTGCTTCCTAAAGTTCTAAGTCATTGCCCAGGAAAAGCCTACTGTGCGGGTATTTTCAGCCTGAGGAGAGAAAAGGAGTGTGACACAAGATCACTGACTCTGAGCTGGATGGGCAGGAATGTCCTCTGTCCAGCCACGGACAACTACCGCCTCTCTGGGCAGCTCTTCTAGTTATTAAAAGTGCTGTATCTTCTGTCATTTCTACTCGTTGGTCCTGGTTCCACCTTCTCCCTCCTGTAGGAGACAGTCCTTTGCAGTATTCAGGCCAACTGTTGTGGTCCTATAAGCCTTTTGTTTTTAAGGCCAAACATCCCCAGGTCTTTCAACTGTTCCTGCTAGGAAATGCCCCTTGGACGACTGGACCATCGCTTTCTGTGGCATGGCAGGATGCTGGGCCTTCAGGCAGGGCAGAGGGACCCAGCGGGCAGGAGCTGAGGGGAGTGTTCCGGGCTGGGTTTATATTTAGAAGCACACTAAGCATCAAAGAGATCAGAAGGACGGGGCGGGAGGGAGGGAAGGGTCTTGCCATGACAATGCTTACAGAGACCTTTCACTTCTGCTTGTATGGCAACCTTGAAGGGAAAATAGCACCATTGAAATCCACAAGGGACGCTCTGTGGAGGGGTACTGGGAATTGGGCCTGAGAGCTTTTCTTGTCCCAGGACAGAATTTTGGGTGTTTGTGTGCCTCCCTGAGTCTGAAGTCCAGGAAAAACCAGGTCACCATGGAAAGGGGATTTACAGAGAGCATCTTATACAGCCAGATAAAGCTTGGCTGCCTCTCCCCACGCCCAGGAATCGGGGCCTGGTCAGACCCACTCTCTCTGAGTAGAAGAGAAACCTGAGGAGGCTCTCGGTTAGCTGGAAGCAGGGACAGAAGCCAGGGTCAGGACGAGTGAGCCTCTCAGGACGCACCAAACAGCGAGGCACCTGAACTGCCCCACTCAAATTGCGTCTGGATGTGACAGAACTGTCACGTCCATTAAGGGGTTGGGTCATGACTTGGGAGGTCCCACCAGGAAAGGAAGGTCTGCGGGCCGGCGCGGCACGCGGTCAGGTGCGGACACTGGCGCTCGCATCAGCCACACGAAGCGGGGAAAGGGAGCCTGGGCCTCCAGGGAGGAGGGGTCCCAGGCGGGTCTCCAGGAAAAAGACACGCAGCCAAAGCATGAGTTCTGAGCCCATGGCTCTGCTGCGTGGGGTGAGGGCACAGTCCATCCCCTTGCTCTGAGGACAAGCGCTGAGACGCACTTCCCCAGGCCTCGGAACTCGCACCCGAGTCTTGATGAACCGGCTAGGGAGGCACTGGGCTAGGGCCCAGTGGTATACTGGAAAAACTTAGAAATAATAAAATAAATGTAGGTAATATATTAATATAAAACAGAAAAACTCTCTCTCTTTCCAGTGCCTTCCGAGGTGGGCTCAACAGCTGCAGGGTGACAGCTCCATGATGGCCACCAGCGCCCACAGCGGCCGGGCCGGGCCGGTGCTCTCTAGCTGGGCTCGGGGCAGGGGCTCCGGCCCCTTCTAGCACTCCGTTGTCAGAGCCCTGGGCCGAGCTCTCCAGTCAAACTCTCCCTCCTCCAGGCCCAGGGCAAGGGACACTGGAGCGGGCTTCCGGGCAGGTACCCGAGGGCTCAGAAGTCATCTGGGGGTGTCTGTCAAAAGCCCCAGTGGGGAGACTGGCCCATTTCTTGCCTTAGGCCCATGATTCCCATCACACCGCCCCAGCTCCAGCTCAGCCCTGCTATCTGCTGCAAGTGCTGAGGAAGGTGGAGATAACGGGCATCGAGGGGGTGGCCAAAGGGATTCTTCCATGCCCTGTGGGCTCTTCCACTTGGGGAGTTCGTGTGGCATTTCCTCTGGGCAGGAGGAGGGAAGGGCTCTAAGCAGGGATCAGTTACCGATTACCAGGAGATGGGTGTGTGTGTGTGTGGGGTGTGTGTGTAGGTGTGTGTGTGGGTGTGTGTGGGCATGTGTGGGGCACTGCTGACAGGGCAGTGCCCGAGCCGGTGACAACCCTGTCAGCCGTATGCCTTTCCCAGGCCAAGAGGAGGCACTGGGTGGCGGTGGGTTCTTCTGGCCCGAGCCTGAGCAAGCACACAGAAGAAAGTGAGGGGCACTAATTCTTGCAATTTCAGGCTTGAGAATGAAAAAGAAAGTGAAAGAAACGAGAGAAAAGAGACAGGCATACAGAGCAGAAAGAGAGAAAGAAAGCGAGAGTCATTGCTCAGGTTGCATTACCTTAAGGATAATTTCTAATGTAAAGATACTAGTGAAGACATAGTCTGCATTGCCTAGGATCTGAAAAATAAGCACAATCGGATTAGTGGCTCTGTGAGTGAACCAGACACCAACAGGAGCACGTGTGTTAGCGACAGACAGCAGAGAGCCAGTGCCCGTACGAGCAGGACAGGAAGAGGAGCAGAGGGGATGGGGTTTACCTTCAGAGCAATTTCAATGGTGAAAATGGTAGTAAAAACAATATCAAAATAAAACAGAATCTGCAAAACAAAAAGAAACAGGGTGGGGATGGGGTGGAGAAGGGACGACAACAGGAAGGGGGGAGAGGTCAGCAATGTTCACCAGAAAAGGAGTCACACTTCAAAACCAGGACACGCGTCCCGTGAGCCCTTCCACGTGGAGACAGACGGAATCGAGTCAGGAGCTGAGGGGCACATACACAGCATGGGATCCTGCGGTGGGCTGGCCTCAGGCAGCTTAGTGGCTCTGGATGAGGTCCCCAGAGAGTGAGGGAGCTTGGCAGGCAGGCCTCAACTGGTCCTGGGTCTGGGCCGTGTCTGGTTGGACACTTTTCTCACAAATCCAGTTTACTAAGAAACCCAAATCAGACACTGGGATGCTTGTCAAAAGGACAGAGAGTGGGGTTTGCTATTTTTTTTGCAGAAATATGCAAAATGCTTAACTCACGTTGGTGTGACTCAGCTAGCTTCTGATGTTGGTGGAAATCTGTACTGGCGCTGTGTCCTTTGAGGCAATGGGAAGGCGCACGCTCCAGGTGAGGCCCCCCAGGCTGGGGGCAGGCTACCGGGTTTCATGCTTTATTATAGCTCAGGTGGTGGGTCAAAGCTGGGCCTAAGACCTCGCTCAGTAAGAAAGCTCTGCATCAAGCAGGCTGCAGACCACCGAGGGGCTCGGCATGGCTATGGCTTTAGATTGCTGGGCTCTTCTCTTCGTGCCCACCGGGTTGGGATTTAACAAAGTTTTGAGACTTCAAGATGCAGAAATTCTTATTCTAGCCTTTAATGTTGTTCACCAGAGCCTTGAGTGGGTCTCCAAATTTAGTTTTCTACTCTACAAAAGGTCACTGAGGCTCTCTTTTATATAAGGTCAGCCTGATCACTGACACCTATTTGCCAGTGCTTCCCCTCTCTTCCTAATGATTAGGACTGGTCAGAGCATCCTGGGAGCAAGGCAGGAGGTCAATGGCTACTCTTTACTAAGTTTACAGGGAACCAGAGCTTCCTGAGGAACATCCATGGAACAATGAAAGTCCTGACCTCTGCCAGTCAGGCCAGCCTGAGGCATTGGGTCCGCGTGCTCTTACTTGCTTATGGTCCTAAGATGGGTTTCTACCAAAGCTGTAAGCTTTTAAAGAAATGTTTATTGTGCCTTTGACTATGAGATTTGGAACTGGGCTCTTGATCAAACAATGAGGTCACAACAGAAGCTGTGGGCCCAGTCCTCGTCCCGGGAAGAAGGGGTGCAGAGGACAAAGGGAATACGTACGTGGTTCCTGAAGGAGGTGTGCTGGACGGGGTCCTCAGCAGCCAGGGAAATGCTGCTGAGCAGAATGAAGAAGAGGATCAGGTTGGTGAAGATCGTGTCATTGACGATGCGGTGGCACTGGAGGCGGAATCTGCGTGGGGAGGGGGAGAGAAGGAGGGAACCATGTGGTCAAGGCGAGGGAAGTGGCTCCCTGGGTCTCAGGAGCCTCAACCCCTTCCCTCAGCTTGCAGCAGGAGCTCGTTGGTTTGGGGTGTGGGCACTGCAGCCTGAAGTCTGACTGCTGTTGGGGAGTGACAACCACAGCCCCTGCCTCCCCACCCCACCACGATGCGTATCTGTACAGAACTTTGTATTCTCAAGCACTTTCACAGACGGTAAACTTTAGACATTTTGGAGGGTTACATCTGAGACCTTTTGGAATCTCTAAATTTTCAAATACTGCTGTGACATTAATAACCGGTTTTGTTGGGGGACTTTTCCCCATCATTAAAAAAAATCACTTTATAAGATCTACTTCACATTTTTATGTATAAGGAACAACAGATCCACCCAGAGATGTGGATACTGAGATACTGGCTAAGAGTATACTCTGGCCAGCTGATTTGCTCCCGTAATAGCTTCAAGGCGTGCAATTCAATTCTACCCCTCAGCCCGATACAAAGAACTACACATGTGGCTCTCTGGACACTCGTTGATAGTACCACAAATGCTGGATCCTTGAATGCCAAGGGTGTCTTATATACATCTCATCTTGACAACAGCTTAGGAAGGGAGGTGTGGGTGTTATTATCATCTTCATTTCACAGATAAAAACACTGAAACCCAGGCAGGAGAGGTTTGCCCAGAAACACAGCCTGTAGCATGAGGGAGTGAGGGCTTGAGTCCAGGCCCGTGGGCCTCTGCTCCTGGCAGCGGCTGACCGGGTGCTCCAGGAGACCCAATGGCTGCAGAAGCACCAAATCCTGGGCAGACTGACTCTTTGAAACAACGCTGGTTTCGTGAGAGTCAGCAGAGGTCTGCAGCGATCATCCCTTTCAAACAGACAGACAAACCCTCTGAGCTGGGTTTGTGTGATAGGGAGCCAGGAAAGGCAGAGGTGCCAGAGGACAGATGCCTGTATCAGCACTGCTGTCAGGAAACTGTATTTCAAGCCAGTCTTGAGGTGGGGCAGAGGAGCCTGGGACTCTAGGCTGAGCCAACACCCTCCAGGGGCATCTAGAAGAAAGCTTCCCACTCCTAATTTAAGTCCACAGGAATCTCATCAATTAAGATGAAGTATTGAAGTCAGCCAAAGATCATTAAACACATAAGAAAATGAGCCGCTAAGACGGGAAATCAGAAGAAACAACAAAGAAGTGATTTAGACAGGGCCAGTCCCACGGCTGAGTGGTTAAATTCACACACTCCGCTTTGGCAGCCCAGGGTTTCATCAGTTCAGATCCTGCGCATGGACACGGCACCATTCATCAGGCCATGCCAATCTTTAAAACAAAAAGAAGTGACTTAGACCACTCAAAGACTGTGTATATTGGAAAGATCACATATAGAATATGAAACAACCATATTTGAAATATTTAAAGAAATAAAGGACTTGATCACAAAGATGACAGAATCATAGGAAACCATTAGATATAGACAGATGGATCTGGAAAAATCAAGCAACAAATGGAACTATCTGAAATGAAAAAATGTAACAGTTGATATAAAAACTGGTTTAAACAGTAACGTAGATAAAGCCAAAGAGAGAGTTAAGAAATTGGAAGATATATCTGAAGAAATTACCCAGAATACCAAAGAGAGACAAGGAGATGAAAGATGTGCATAACACATTAAGAAATAGGGAGGACGGAACCAGAAGGTCTAACATATGCCTAACTGGAATGCCAGAAGAAAAGAATAGAGAGAATGAAGGAGAGACAATATTTAAAGAGATTATGGCTGCAACTTTTCAAGAATTAGAAATTCTATTCTAGTCTTTAGTGTTGTTCAAGAACTGAAGAAAAATATAAATCCATAGACTTAGGAAGCATATCATATTCTAATCAGGATAAACGGAAAGAAATCCATGTCCAGATACATGGTTGTTAATATGCACAGCACCAAAGGCAATAGAAGATGTTAAAAGCAACTAGAGATAAGGGGCAGATTGCCTACAAAAGAAAGAGAGTTGGTGTGACTGCTGACTTTACAGTGGAATTATACATTTAACATGCTGAGGGGCAAAACATGTCAATCTAAAATTGTATACACAGCAAAACCATCTTTCAAGAACAAGAAATGAAAACAATTACAGATAAACAGAGGCCAAGTGAATTTACCATAAAGGAACTAAAGGAACTTTACATATATACATATATAAAATAATAATAATAATGATGGTGAAATACTGTCTCCCTTGTTGGGTTAAAGGAGTAATCAATAATCACATCTAAGGCAGGAGGGGCTGAGAGGAATTAAAACAGTCTAAGCTGCTTCTGTTGCACAGGAGGAGCTCCACGTTCTTGTTTAACTTCAGACTTTAAGTTAAATAGACTTAGTAAATTACCAAGAGTCATTATCAAAAGGATAGAAATAGAGTTTACACGTTTCAAACAATGGAGAGAAAAACACAGGTCTTCTGATTTGGAATCCAGACTCCTTTACTTAAATAGTGCCTGTTTAAACAAGCTGTGGTGAGTGGGGGAGTTCAAGCCTCCACCCAGAAGTTGGAGGATGCCGGCACTTGCTGGGCTTGTCTCATGCAGAGAGCAGAGTTCCCCCTTCCCCACCATTCTCACACACCTGTTGTTGGGGCTGAAGATGAAAAATGCACTGGCTTCGGGCATGGGCACTGCCTTCTCCTTAAGGTGCAGCTCAGAGAGTGGGCGGGGGCGGGGGCCAACAGGCATCTCAGGCTCCTCCTCATCTTCTTCTCCTATAAGAAAAATAGCACCATTCTAAATAACTCCACTACTTGCACTTATTTTTACCATTGTGCTGCCTACTTCTAGATACCTTCCCACTGACAGGAATCAAGACATTATTTGTACCTCTGAAAATGCAGGATACCATCCAAGACAGACACCCGGCTCTGTGGACACTGCTGGAGCTCACCTTTGTTAGGGAAAGAACCTCCTGGTGGCGCATGATAAGGGGGGTTGTATGTATGGTGACCAACATGTCCTGGTTTGCCCAGGACTGTCCAGTCATTTTCTGAACTGAAATTCCCACATCCCAAGAAATCCGTCAGTCCCGTGCAAATTGGGAAGGGTGGTCATCCTAGTTGTAAGGCACTAGAAATGGTAACCAGGTAAGACTAGGGCACTGCCAGGTGTACTTGTGCGTCTAAATTGCAGGAAGGGAAGGGGCATGGCTTAGTTGACTTGTGGGATCCCTTGCAAACAACCCGATCCATGAAGGTTCCAGCAGTTTAAAATTAAGACTTTCCCCATTCATGAAAATTCAGAAAAATCAAGTGCTGTAGAGATAATAGGGCAATAATGCTGACCACAACAGGCCCTTAATTCAAAGGTCTAGACACTGACACCAATTAAAGGGGCTCCTTGCTTCTCCTGGCCAGTGGCCACGTTCAATTGGACCAAAGGCAAACGGCTTATTTCTTTGCTTACAAGATCATTGCCCATGGAAAGGAACCACTGCATGTCCTGTTCTGGTCAAATGTATTTAAAAATATTTAGAAGGGGAATGGGAGTGAGGAGCATGGACTCTCCAGCCAGCGCTTTGATGCAAATCCTGGCTCTGCCTCTTTCTGGTCATGGGTGTTTTATTTTGTCTCTCTGTGCCTTAGTTTCTCCATCTGTAAGATGGGATAATAGTACATACATACCTCAGAACGGTGCCTGGCACAGGGCAAGTGTTACATAAATGTCAGGGGTTGTTATTGCTTTCTCTACCCATGGGAGCGATTCTTAGCCTATAAATTAGTGCTTAGCATCTTTCTCAGTCTGAACTCTGCCTGCTGTTATTCCCTGACAAACTTCCCACTCACATCAAAGTATTTTCTGAACACTCGGTGTAGTGGGTTGAATATCGTCCCCTTGAAATTCACGCCCACTCAGAACCTCAGAATGTGGCTTGATTTTGGAAGTAGGTAGGGTCTTCGCAGATGTAATTAGTTATGATGAAGTCATACTGGACTAGGGTGGGCCCTAAACCCAAGGACTGTTGTCCTTATAAGGAGAGACACGGAGACACACACAGGGAAGAAGGCCATGTGAGGACAGAGGCAGGGACTGGAGCAATGCAGCTGCAAGCCAAGGAGTGCCAAGGACTGCCGGCCGCCACCAGTAGCTGGACAGAGGCAAGCAGGGCTTCTCTCTAGAGCCTGCAGAGGGCAGACGGCCCTGCTGACACCTTGACTCCAGACTCCAGGCACCAGAACTGTGAGAGAATAAACTCCTGTTGTTTCGAGGCACCAAGTTCGTGGCCATTTGTTACGGCAGCCCCAGGACATGAACACACTGCCTATGTGCTTTCTCCTTTCCTCACGCTCTCTGTGTGGCCTGCCCTTCATCTCTCTGTCTGCAGAGCTGTATGGACTCCCCTTCAGGTAGCACCATTCACCTGGCGTTCCTGAGTTCCTGGGCTCTAGGGAAGGACTTTCCTGTGAATTCCAGCAGCACCTTTGGCCTCCTGCGTTAACTTGGCACTCCTTGGATGTGCCGATATCCAATACCTTGGATGCCTGGGTTAAATGTATCTGTTCCTTCTCCTTATGTGCTGAAAACCCTGGAGAGAGAAACCATGTCCTGCACAGAGTAGCCCTTATTTCTTGATAAAGACTAAACTACCACACCAACATTAGCTTTCTAAGGAAGGAGATTTTGCGAAAGAAGAAGGTCAGGTGAGACTTAAGCTGGTTGGAAAGATAGCTGCAGGAAGTCCATCTTAGGACCAGCCATGCCTCTGCGTGTTCTCTCTTCTGATTAAGATTGAAGCCAGGTGGTACAGAGAAAAAAATGCCTGGCACAGAAAGTGGTTCTTTACCAAGCAAGAGGCTTTAGGGACCCAAGCTTTTTTTGGAGGACGCGCAGAACACAGGTACAGCTCAGATTCTTTCTCTAGAGTCATTAGAGCTGCCCCGCAGGCAGTGGATATTTTCGGCAGAAGAGAGGCACAAGATGAAAAACTGTGTACAGGCCAAGGGTGAAAGCTTTTTAACCAAACCTTGGGATGTAAAACAAAGGTAAAGTTTTCCATCAAAGAAAAAAGCAAAACCAGAGTTGGCCTAAATCATATTTACAAGCGAAATGTAACTGGGAAGGAGCTTAAACTCCTGCCCACGTGTTTGTATTCTTCCGTTTTGCTGTAAACGACCCGACATTTTCTTATTCATGATAATCTGATAACAGGTCATTTAACACTTATTCTAATCACTTATGTTTTCTATGTATGTTATGCATTCTAATCATATATTTACTAGCTTTGTGCTTTTATGAGTTCCCAGTGAAGCCTTTTGTTGTGTCGTGGGCAGCGGCCTGCCTCACTGCGGATGAGGTCTACATCCATTTCCATTCCTGGGGAGAAGCGAGGTGGCTGACTGTGCAGACCCACATCGCTGAATTTCAGAGGAAACTATTTCTGAAAGACAAACCCAAGTTTGTCCAAGGACAGAAATGTGTCAGCAGGAGATGTTCTGTATGTCTTATGTATAAGAAGAGAGGCTGACAGATTAGGAAAAGTCAGGGAAAGTTTGGGGTTGGCAGTTGAGCCACCTGGACCCCCGCTCCCAAATGCCACTAGACTCCCTCGGGGAACTTTCTTTCCTCATCTCCTCCTTGGAGGTCTGGAAAGCGTGATAAGGAAGGTACTGGGCACCCTGCAGCTGATGCTGCTTCCCAGAGGCGGGTTCCTGCCCTCAGAAGTAAAACCACCGCAGAGCTCATGCCCCAGCCCTGGGCCTCGGTGACCCTGGCCCTCCCCATTTGACACACATTTTCACCTCTGTGATTTTGTTCATGGCTGATTAAAATAAAAACACTATTTTTAACATCTACTGCCTACAGCACACTGAACACAAAGCCGTGGTTCTTGCCCTGAAGGAGCTTACAGTTTGTGGTGTGGCCCCAGATTCTTCCAGCAGGTAAAGGTAATGCAGGTAATGCAAGGGTGGTAAGGGCCAAAGAGCCAGCCTGGAGCTGTGTGGGAGAGCCCGGGAGAGAAGGCTGAGAGGGTGCTCCCTGCGGCAGGCACCTTCTCCTGGCTTTGTCCTTAGTGCCATCGAGTTGATTCCGACTCCCAGCGCCCCTGTGTGCAGCAGGGCGGAACCTGCTCAGTCTTTCTGAGCCCTCCTCTCACCTTCCGATAGTATATCAGACAATGCTCCACTGCTGTTCACAGGGTTTTCACGGCCAATTTTCTCAGAAGTGGGTGGCCAGCTCCTTCTTCCCAGTCTGTCTTATTCTGGAAGCTCCACTGAAACCTGCCCACCATGGGTGACCCTGCTCGTATTCGAAATCCTGGTGGCAGAGCTCTCAGCATCACCGCAACATGCAGCTACCAGAGTGTGACAACAAACAGACTGACGGGTGGTGTGGGTTCCGGATCAGGAAACAAATCTGGGCTGTGGTGGTGAGAGTGTGGAATCCCAACTGCTAGACCCCCAGGGCTGGCCTCTCTTTGCTGGCTCAACTGAAAACCTCCGAGTCACCATTCATTCCTCGTTCTTTCTCCTCAACTCCTAAGCCATTAATAAGTCCAGTTGGCTCCACCTGCAAACTGCACCCCGAGTCCCGCCATTTCTCTGTAGCTCAGCACCCTCACCCTGGCCTAAGCTGCCATCATCTCTTCCCTGGACTCCTGTGCTAGTGTCCCCACTGTCCCCGGTCCTATTCTTGACTATCTGCTGTTTCATATCCGTTTCTCATATGGCAGCCTGAGTGAGTCTTTTAAAAGGTATGTTGGGGGCTGGCCCCGTGGCTGAGTGGTTAAGTTCATGCACTCTACTTCGGCGGCCCAGGGTTCGGCCCAGGGTTCACTGATTCGGATCTTGGGTGAGGACCTACACACTGCTCATCAGGCCATGCTGAGGTGGTGTCCCACATAGGAGAACTAGAAGGACCTACAGCTAGAATATACAACTATGTACTGGGGCTTTGGGGAGAAAAAAAAAAAGAGGAAGATTGGCAATGGATGTTAGCTCAGGGCCAATCTTCCTCACCAAAAAAAACCAACAATAAAAAAGTATATTTAATCAGGTCTCCAAAAAAAAAAACAGATATCTTGGACATCGGATCATGTCTTCCTCTGCCTGAGGTGTTTCTCCACTGCATCAGAGCAGACTCGAACTTCTCGCAGCGCCTTTCAGGCCCTGCTCCACCTGCCTCCACCTAGCCCCCATCTGAGGCCCTAGCCCTCTCCCCTTCCCTCTCTGCTCCAAGCACGCTGGCCTCTTTGGACTCCTTGGCAGACAAGTGCGTTCTGCAAGAGATTCTGCTTTGCTAGTCTCTGCACCTAGAAAGCTCTTCCTTCTGATTTCCATGTCTAATTCCTTTGGCTCATTCAGGTTTCAGCCCAGATGTTGCCTCCTCAGAGGGCTGCACTGCCACACAGCCAAAGCAGGCCTGCCCCACCCAGCAGGTCTAACGCAGCCTTTGGTCGTCTGATCTTCCTGCCGCGTAGTGCTGCCTGACATCACCTTCTTGGTTGGTTTGCTTTCTTGCTCGTGGTCTGTCTCACCACTGAAATGCAGGCTCTGGGAGCTGTGGCCTTCTCTGTCTTGCCCGCAGGTGTGTCCCTGGCGCCTGCCACAGTGCCTGGCACACAGCAGGCGCTTCCTAAGTAGGTACTAAGTGAATGAATGTCGCCAAGCTTTCTTCCAGCTCTGTGTCTATGACAACAGTATGGTCCTGAAATAAATGCTTCTCTCTCCAACTTCCTGAGCTCCAAACCAGGCAAGACCACCCTTGTCCACGCAGCCGGCCCACCCACCCCGCCCTCACTGCTCTCCTTCTCCTCGAGCCCCTTGCTGCAGCTCGAGCCTCCTCCACAGCATTGTTACCGTGCTATGCATTCTCTGGCGTCGCCCACATTTCTTTCTCACGTGTGCTTATTAATTTTAAGTCCTTAGCGACTCTTAAGAACATCTGCATGTTCACTCAAATAAACTAATCGATTAAATAAAACCACAATCTAGGCACAATGCTTTCCTAATTGGGTGAGTAGATGTTTCTAGAATTTGGTGGATACTAAGCTTGGAGGCTAAAACCAACTGGCGAGTTTTCGAGATTAAACAGAGAGGGAAGGACTACGGGCCACTGCCAGCCTGTATGGCCGCTTTGTATGAATTAGAACCAGGCCCCTCCTCGGTGTTCCCATGAAGGCAGAGGCCCTGGCTGGCACAGTGTAGGCTGGAGCTCAGCTCCCACTCGGCCGTCCGACATACAGCTTTGTGTGCAGCCTGGAAAAGCAAACACAGCAGCCTGGAGAGAAGGGTGAAGGCCGAGGAGAGAGCAGGAAGTGAGAGCGAGCAGGAGGGAGCTGGGGAGTGTGCGCTCAGGCACCAGGCCTGTTATGCTGGAAGTCCGGCTGGAAGTGTGGCAGGAGGAATGCTCACTTCTGCTGCCTCCCAAGGGGCATCTGCGTGAAGTGGGCCCGCAGGGGCCAGCTGCCCAGAGGAGAGAAAGCAGAAGGGCTGTGTTTGCGAGAACAATGGTGGATCAGGCTTCACCTTTCACAGTTCAGAAGAGAAGCAAGTGGGGACGAGAGATGGACAATAACAGAGACAGTAGGCCAAATAACCTTGGAGGAGTCTTTGGGGTCTTCTGCTGCACCTGGTCCTAAAGGGTCCAGGAGGTGACGTGCAGTGGCAGGAAAGGGAGGAGCTAGGAAGCAGAGGCTCGCGCAGCCTTGGAGGAGGGGGATGCCCAGAGCCACCAGCTTTAAGAACATGCTGGCCTTGGGTGAGAAAATGGAAACCAGGGATAGTGAACAAATGGGAGCCCTAGGAACTGGCTTTAAAGGCCTGAGTGGTGGTGGTGGGCTGAGGCAGGACAGCCTCAGGTGTCTATGGACCCAAGGCAGGAGATTCTTGGGACCAAGAGAGTGAAGGCACACAACTGGAGGAGGTTAAAGAAGAGTGGCCATGTGATGGGGGAAAAATCTAAGGAATCCTGAGGAATCAGCAGAGTGTGGGAGAATAGTTTTTCAGTTTAAAAGCAAAACGATTCCAAGAATTCTCAAAGCCGCGTCAACAGAGAAACATTTCTATGATGGCCGATGTGGTGACAATATCCTCATTAGTCCTTTTTCCCTTTGACCTGCTTCTCTTTGATTTTATTAGAGCAACAAAGAAGAGAAAGGCCAAGAGTGTATTTAGAATAATGAAACTTGAGCTTATTGTCATGGGTGTGTCTACCTCACTGCTTTGTAGCAGGAACAGGGACAGAGGGCCTGACTGCAGCTAGGTGATGGAAGAACAGACCCCCTAAGCCGGTGCTCACCCCACTGCCTGCTGCATGCTGTGTGCTGTGTGCTGCGTACTGCGTGCTGCGTGCTGCCTGCTGCATGCTGCCTGCTTCATGCTGCCTGCTGCCTGCTGCATACTGCATGCTGCCTGCTGAGTGCTGTGTGCTGCCTGCTGTGTGTTGTGTGCTGCGTGCCGGGAGGCTGCTTCCTGGAGACACAGGCCAGATGGACAGGCTCTGCTCAGGGCCAGAGGGGTTTGTTTTAATACTCTCTTTCTTTTTAAGCTTTAAAAATATACACACGAGAAGAGAGACTCATATGGCGAACCTCCATACCCAGCTTCAACAACCATTGACAGTTTGCCCATCTTGCTTGATTTACCTTCCCTGCCTCCATTTTTTGTTGTTGGGGCATTTTAACGCAACTTCTGAACATTTTAGACTCCAGCCATAAACACTTCAATATTTAAAAAATAGAACTATAATAATATTATTTTACTAACAAGATTAACAAAAACTACTTAAAATCCTTTAGTTCTCAGTCCATATTCAATTTTCCCCAGTTATCTCAAAAATGTCATTTTAAAGTTTATTTGTTTATTCAGGATGAAGATAAGATCATCCCATGGCATTTGGTCAATATTTCTAGTATGTCTTTGAAATTCTATAACGTTCACAGCAGAAGGGTTTATGACTTCAAAAGGCTTAGTGCCCAGCCCCTGGAAAGGCTCTTCCTGCTCCTCTTTCTGTCCACACCCCAGGATGCCAAGCCTGCTTCCTACACGGGGAGGAGAGGGAGCTGGAGCGGCCACAGGGAGCCTCTTCCCAAGGACAAGGGGAGGGGGCCACTGCTGTCCTTGCAGACTTCCCGCAGAGAACCAGCGGAGGGAAAGCAAAAAGGAAAACCTAGCTTTGCTTATAAATGCAGAAGGTTTTCGGGCACCTAATGTGGGTAACAACCCTCATATAGCCCAACCTCCACAGAGAAGGAAATGTCAGTAAGATAACAGTCCCTTGTCGCGCGTAATTGACTTCGAGCTTGAGGCGGGTGGTGATATCTGCAATTTCAGGTAACAGGAAGGCAATCCAGGGCTCGTCCAGGATGTGGGGTTTTGCAAAGCGGGGAAGCGAATCCTGGAGAAAGGCTGAACGACCTCTGGCATTAAAACTCCCTCAGAGGAGACTGCCTGCCAATTTACGTTTCAGATAGAAGACGAGAAGACCGTCGGTATGAGCTCTTTTTATAAGCAGAGACCCAAAAGCATCCCACAAAACAACAGGTGGGACATCTGTGGTGGCAGCTGTCCTTGTACTCAGCACTGCCTCCTGAGTGAGGGCAAGACAGATTTGCGATTTACTTTTATTATTAAGTGAGCATAATGCTGCAACATACGTTGTAGTAATAAATTTTGTAAGCTAATAATGATTTTACAATACAGGATACAATAAAACCTTAAATGCATATAGAATCCAGCTTCCAAAAGGCACAAAAACACTGCTCAAATATGACTTATGTAATCTCCTATTATTATTATGAGGAAACAAGGAGCTGAGTTTCCCCTGGATGAGGACTGGCAGTGCAAACACAGAGGCAGGAGACATTCGGCAGCGCAAGGGGCTTGCAGAGGGAAACTGCAGCCCTTGGTCTTGAATATACCACCACTTCCATATGGCTTCAGAATATGGATCTCCACCCCAACCTCCCAACCTCAGGTTTAGGCAGTAGGACTGGTACCTGCAGTTTCTGGGTTGGAGTAGGGACTCTTATCCTCATTTTCATTGGGCTGGAGGTCATCCATGTTGATCTAGGCAGCCAAGGGGGAGAAGGAGGAAGAATCTCGTTAGATACGTCCCACAGTTTGAGAGGCTTGGAGCAGCCTTGAAATTGCATTATAGTCAGTGGCTGAGCTTTTGACTCAAAAATATATCCTTGTTACTTTGTGCATATTCTTAAGACATCAGCAGAAGGCTGGGATTCAACCAATCTGCCTTGTCTTCACATTCCTGGTTCTCTTGCTCCACCCTCACTGGCTTTATCCCACCAAGTCTCTTTCCTTCCTTCTTCCTGTCCATGAGCGTCTGGCCTGGGAAGACTGTAACCTCTTTCCCTCAGCAACAGCCCTCCCAGGTCTTGGAAGGAGATGGCCACTCACCTTGGTTGTGGGTGGGGACTCTCCATCAGCTGTAATAGATTTCAGCTCAATTTTCTCCTCCTTGGCCTCCTCTACTGCTGGCTTCTCCACCACTTCTTGTTTCTTCTCTGGGCTGGCAGTCCTGGCCGGTCAGCAGAAGAGAAAAATAGAGATGTTTATTGGAGTGACAGGGAACAGTGAAAAAGAAAACTACTCTGTGGTCTGTTGGGGGCCAGTGGGAGCAGATTCCCTAGGCCTATGTCCATCTTCCTCCACCCAGGGCACATGGAATGGGGAGCTCAGTCACTAACGCTATTGGGCTGGGCCCAGGATCAAGGCACCTGGCCTCATCTTGCTCTGTCTGGCACTCAGTTGGCTTCTTCCAGCTTCTCTGCTGCTCCAGTCCTTGTCTAAAGCAGAGAAAGGTTCTGGATCTCATTCAGGATTGGGTCCTGGAAAACTCTGCTCAGTACCCAGCAGATGGGTGGCCTATGACAGTCTAATCTAGACAATGACGGAAGACAACGTAGGGTCCTATCTTGCCTTCCTAACACTGTAGATGAGTCACAAAACAGTGAGGAAGAATCGGTCTTTCAGCTAGAATTGTATTTCTTCTCTGAGTGGCTGCCTTTTTTCTCTCCCCATCCTTTACTCCCACCAGCACCCTTCATGACCTCTCTTCTCAAAAGAGGTAGGGAAATACAACACCTTCACAGAGACTGTAATTCATGATGGTCTCCACTTTAGAGCAATGCCTTGGAATTAGGAGAGAGACCCAACTTACTATAAGAAGCCCCAAACCCAGCGTCCTTCTGGGAGGAATGGCCAACAGAGGCCAGCACCCAAGGCTCACTTTACCACCAAAGGGAATGGCATTCCAGAACCGGGCCCCTGGGCCCCTGGTCCTGGGTAAGCTCAGAGGGTTACCTGGCCAGCTTCTTTCTCTCCTTCTCTTCTTCCTCTTCCTTTTGGGCAGATGTGAGGCTCTCAGCATCAGCCAAGTTGTCCACAGCAATGGCCAAGAACACATTCAGTAGGATATCTGTTTGCGTCCATTCTTAAAGAAAACGACCCTTGGCCTTGGGGTTTTTGGTGGGCACAGGGAGCAGGGAGGGTGCAGGACATGCAGGGGTAGAGTTCCCCACAGTGAGAGCTCATGGTGACTCCCTTCAGGAGGTCCAAACCCATTGGTGTCCCTCCTGCCTGCTTTTCCTTCCCCATCACCCTACTAGCTACCTGGAGTTTTCTAAGGGGTTGAGAGCAGGCCAGCTTGTAGGCTGGAGCAGGGAGGGAGAGCGGCAGTGAGCCCTGCCTTGCTCTTTAATTGCTGGGCTGCTTTATGGTGTCCCCACTGTGAGGACTGCCTGTAAGTGACATTATAAACAGCACTGTCTCTAGCAGAATGCGGAACTCTCTCAAGAGCAGTTCATTATGACTGGGCCCTCAGGAGGCGGCCTCATGTCTTTGCCAACTCTTAAAGTGAGCCTGAGCATACAAAGACTCTCGGAAGGTCCAGCTGGAGCTGCCAAAGCTTGGGGACTCCTAACTGAAGCAGTCATTTGCCCTTTTCTTCTCTCCCCCACCCTCAACCTTGAATGGACCCCCTGGGTCAGAGAACTGCAGAATCAAAGAAAGTAGAGCTGAAAGGGCTCTTAACATCTGTTAAGTCTGACCTCCACCCAGACACCCAGACAGTCACCTGTTTCACACATAGGGAACCACAACCCAGGGAGGTGAAGGCTTGTGCAAGGGTGCTACTGGATGCCTCGCTCTCATGCCCCCGCGTGGCAGGGGCTTTGCACATATTATCCCACTAAACCTCAAGATGACCTGGTAAGTAGCAGGTACTATCGTTTTATCACCTCATTTTATAGACACTGAGGTAGAGATGCTTCAGCTTGCCCGAGGTCACCCAGCTGGTAGAACGTAAAGCCTGTCTGTTGGCATCAACGCCCAGGTTTTCTGCACTACATTAAGCTGCGATTTAAACCCGAGTCTGGGCCAGAGCTGCTTCCACTTAACAACCCACCTCTGCACACAGCCCTCATGGGGCAGTGACCAGAGGGAGAGAAGAACACCTGTGGCTGGAGACTCTGGAAACCTGCCCGTGGCCTGGATCAGGAAGGATCTGTCAGGTCTGCTTGGTGAAGCCCAGCCAGCTCTGCCTGTGACTAAAGTCCTGGAGAGTGGCTTCAGAGGAAGGGGACACTGACCAGAAAGCAGGAAGAGGAGACGAAGGCCATTTCAAGGATGATGGCTCAGTCCTCCTTAACAGAGCATCCTACCTCCAGCAGATGCAACATCCCAGGGCAGCTAAGGTGCCCAACTCCAGAAGCGTTCACATCAGAGCCCATGTGAGTGGCTGCACGTGCACACGGCCAGGGGGCATCATGCACCCAGACTACAATGAGAACACTCCTCCTGGAGCTGGGCAACACTGTAGCCTGAACTGGTTCAGGAAGATGAACTTACATCCTCATCTATGCCAAAGCTCCAGGCTCCCCGCAAGACCCGCCAGCTAAGGCAGTTCTGGGCTGGGGACTGTCTTCTCCCCAGAGCACGCCTTTCCCCTGCTTGCCTGGGGCCCTGTGGACGGGCAAGCACAGTTTTCAGCCTTGAGTCAGGATCTGCTGGGCACACCTATTTGGCATCATGCTGCAGACTGAGGGCGGGGGCATTAAGGGTGGGGAGGCAGGAGCAAAGGATACAGTTTCCACAGATGAAGAGGATGATGAAGTAAATACAGACTAACATCCCTGGAAAAGAGGGGCCGCCATAAGCCATGATCCCATCATACATCACCGAATTCCAGTCCTCCCCGGTCAGGATCTGAATGACACATTCCCACCAATAAGGGACACAGCGTTAGACCAACAGCAAACCCCAAAACTCCCCTGCCCTGCCCCACTATGTTAACGAAAACGACTAAGATCTATTTCCACCTCTTTCCCTCCTCCTGGCTCCCAGTTCTCCTCCCAGGGGCTCTGAGCTATTGACCCGGACAAGTCTGACTCTGTCCTTAGACAAAGCGCGTGGCCACTACAATGATATTACTTGAGGGGCGACTGAAAGGGCTCCCTGGTCAAAATCTCTCCTACGACCCACATACAGCACACGAGATGGCACCTCAGGTTAGGGCATAAAGACCCCTTCACCAGTGTGAATGTGTTCATTGGGAGAGCAATGCGCTATCTGTTTTCCCCAAACATTAGTCATGTGGGTATCGCCATTAAGATTTTGGCAACATCCATATTCATTTTATTAAAATAAATCAATCTACTTTTAAACCTAAACAAGTGCTACTTTGGCTTTGTCCTAAGCCAAAATATCTATGAAGTCACAAATTTAAGGGGTAGTTGTATTTTTTTCTAAGGGCAAGAAAGGTGGGTAGGAAAGACAGCTCCATCACCCTCCCCTCCCCCAACAAGAGCAGGCTGTTTTTCTTGGTTTATATTTTGGGCTTTTATGTAGAATTTATTTGAATAAAGGGTTCCACGGCTAAGAGAGTTTTTAAACTGCTTGATTAGATCTTCTTTCAATGGTCCATCAACAGTGGAATTCCACGGGGGTCTAGGGGTCAGGGAAACTACTGAAAGAACCAAGACTCTGCTGGGCATGGAGCCTCCATGGCTGATCTAGGCTGGCTTTGGGTGCCCAACACAAGGTGAAGCTCCTTCTACCTTTCCAAGTCTCCTTCCTTCTCCCACCTCCCTCACCACTCACCCACCCACCTGGTCATAATCCCAGCAGAGAAGAGTCCATACCTGAAACACGGTAAGAAGGGACTGGGGAAAGTTATCAAATGTGCTCCTCCGGGTCTGCATCTCATCAAAGTTGAACTTTCCTCCAAAGAGCTGCATCCCCAGGAGGGAGAAGATGATGATGAAGAGGAAGAGGAGTAGCAGCAGGGAGGCGATGGAGCGCACAGAATTCAGCAAGGATGCCACCAGGTTGCTTAAGGAGTTCCAGTACCTGAGGACCAACATGAGGAATTAGCATCCTTTTCCTGTGCTTTTCTTCACATCATTCCTCATTCACACTCCCACTAGAGATTTTAAGATAAATTACAACTCCCTCCTCTTCTGCCCTTTCTTTGGGGGTAGTGGTGGTGGTGTGAACTGGGCTGCTAAGCTCACATTTAGGGTGTGGAGCCTGGTTAATTCAAGGTCCTGGGATCAGTAATATGTCCTGGAGAAGAGATGGAGCTCAGGGATCAGAAGCCTGTGTTCCCACCCAGCTCTGCCAGCTGCCAGCTGCGTGTGCCTGTGGGCAAGTCACTTAACTTCCCTTCCTTCTGTCTCCATATCTGGAAGAACAGAGACAGCGGTAGCACATACTCCATTAGGTTGTCAAGAGGATTACATGAGATAATCCGGAAAAACAAAAGCCCCAGTCCCGTGCCGGCACACAGTAGGTAAAGGTCAGTCACTGTTGTTATCACAAGTGGCCTTTAGACAGAAAAACACATTTTTTCCCCCTGTAATGTGGCCCTCAGCCCAGCCCAGGCAGCAGCTGTCTAGCAGAGACATGGGTTAGGTCGCCCATGGGTAAGAGAGGGGCATAGCTTAGTAAAGTTTCCCGAATTTACCCCGTCCTAAGAACTGGCTTTCTAAAAAGCCTCTCTTCTGGAGATTCTGATTAAAAAGCTGTAGTTTGGGACTCAGAAATCTGTATTTTTTAACAAGCATCTCAGAGGATTCTCATAAACAGGCAAGTGTGGGAAATCTTGGATTACAGCAAACGTACCCCACCCACAGGAACAGGTCTGTGCTGGGGCGGGGGCTCCGCCTGAGCAGAGAGGAGGCCCCACTCTTACAATCACAGACCCTCTCTGCACCATGAATACAGAGGGCCTTCATTGTAGCCTGAGGAAAAGCCCCTTCTCTTGGAAAGCGTGAGGGTGGGGTGGGGAGATGGGGTCATACTAACGGCTGCTGGAGGCAGTTTGGGTACCTGTGAAAGGGTCAGATCAGGACAAAAAATGCTCTGTAGCAAAAGGGACCCAGCCTCCCCCTGGAGCAAGTGCAAGAACAGAGCAATCTCATTTCCCTACAGCTCCGCCTCTGGCCTGTCGGCCCTCAGGTCATGGTCTTGGTTTCCTCCACTTAAGATGTCTCCAGCTTATTACCAATATACACAGTGAACTGTTTTTGTTGCTTAAGACAGTGACATGCGAAGCACCCCTCATCTTGCTTCTCAGCTGAGCCCCAGCCTTCTCTCCAGAGCACCTCTCTCCAGAGAACGCTTCGACGTCAAGTGCAGAAGCAGATGGGCCAACAGTTTGGATGTAAACATGAACTTCTTCCCAGCCTGGAGTCTCTAATGTGCCTTTCTCCTTCACAAATTCAGCCTTTCTCCATCTCTATTTTGCCTGCTAGCCACACTCCCTGTTTGCAGCATATTAATATACATTTATTTGTATCTGTTCTATAAAAGCTCTTAAGTGTTTCTCGTTTGTGACAGTCTTAGCTCATCCAAACAGGCTCTGAGTTCTTGAGGGCAGAGACCAGAGGTTTCTTCTTCCATCCTCTCCATCTCCGTCCACAAATAAACTTTGTCCAACCCAGTATGTGTGAGGGACTGCAAGGCGTCCCAGCAGGCTGCAGGTGGTAGTAATTGCTCTGCCTAAACCAAGAATTAAGATAACCTCTCTGGGGCCAGAACACCCTCGCCCCCTACATTTAAAGCAGTCTTCCCAAACCTGCCTGGAGACGAAACTGCCGAGGAGTGTGATCATTTTCTAAACACGGATTCCAAGGCCTCTCCTGGAATCACGGAGTCACAATCGCTGTTGCTGGGGCTTGCGCGACTCTCAGGCGTCCACTCCAACACATGTCAGGGAGCTGGTTTTAGGAACCAGTAACTTTAGAGCATATTTACAACAAGAATTTCCAGCTGTTTCAGAGGGGAGAGCGTCTGCATGTAGGTTAGCTCACAGAACCCCCTAGAGACCTCTGTGTGTTCAACTGTCATGGAATATCCCGGAAAAGTCTTAATAGCCGTAGAAGGTTGGAGCCTTAATTTTCATGAGGCACATGGAAACGAGGGAAATAACTCAAATCAGGCTTACAACCGAGGTTCAGAGATGTGTGACAGCCATGGGGACTCTACGGGGAGCTGGACAAGGAAGCTCAGACTGGAGGGAGAAAGTCACCATGAATGGGGATGATGTCGGGCAGAGTGGAGCAGACCAGAGGCAGAGAGGGAAGGGGATGTGGGAGGAAGCCCTCAGAGTGCCTGGGGTTCTGGAGGAGTGGAGGCTCTGTAGAGAAACAAATTGAGTCATCCAGCGGAGGAGAACCCTCCTGGAAACACTGGGTATGAAAGATGGCAAACAGTGAGCAATCTAGAGGGGTCGGAGTGGAGTCGGTGTAAGAGCACTAATGGGCAAGAGGGGCTGGCCGCAGGGCAGAGCCCTGGGTTAAAAGGGAGAAGTCTTTTGTCATGCCTGCCCATGTCCCTCTGCCTCCCAGGGGCATCCCAGGAGAGTCTGCACTTCTCCTAGTCAGCAAGGGCTGTTCACAACATGGGATTTGGGTATGACAGAACTCCTAATGCCCCACCCTATCATCTTTCCCATCCTAGAAAATGACACAGCAGTTTCTGGCTCAAGCCTAAAGCCTTGGAGTCATCCTTCACATCTCTCTCTCACACCCCACATCAGTAAATCCTGCAGCTCCATTTTCAAAGCAAAGCCTGTTTTGACCACTTCTCCCTACTTTGTCACCTAGCCCGAGCCACCGCATGTCATCTGATTTCTGCCTCCTAACAGGCTGTCCCTCCTCCACCCCTGCTTCCTACAGCTGTTCTCCACACCACACACATCTCAGGGGGAAAGCTCCCAAATGCGCCACCCTGGGAAGTATTGGCCACACCACAGCCGAGGGAGGCCCATCACAATGTGTCAGACCAAGCCTCACCCTGCCTCCCTCTTGGGATGCTAATGCCTAAGGGTCTGCCCTGAGGAATTGGCCCACTGCCTCAGCAACCTCCTCTCCTTCCGCTTTGCTCCTTCTCGGTTGCTCCAGGCCACCGGCCTCCTCACCGTCCCTTCATCCTCTAAGCACACGTACTCTGGCCCTGGTCCCTGCTGTTTCTGCTCTCAGCAGAGCTCTCCCCCAGAACTCTGCTCAAATGTCCCCTCACCAGAGTGGTCCTGCCTGACCACCACTCTACCCTCTAGTCCTACTTTTTTATATATTCATCACCACCTGCCACCAGAATGAAAAGTCCACGAGAGCCAGGAATTCATCTACTCATCCATCCTCAGTGCTTAGAACAATGCCTAGCCCAAAGGAGGTGACGAGTAAAGATTTTGTTGAATGAATGAATCTTACTGTAAATGTGACACATTAGTGCTTACTGGAGGGAAAGGCAAGGGGACATGGGGTCACAGAGAGTGTCTGGGTGTGCGTGGAGGAGCACGGGTGGAGAGCGGGGAGACCTCTCATACTGACACCTGAGTCAAATATACTTTGCCCAACAGTGAGGAGTGGCTGTTTGTACCTCCCCCCCATATCATTTTTTTTCCCTATAGCTTCCTTAAATTTACAGGTAGAGTTTCTGGGATTCCTGACTGTTCCATTGTCAGAACACATGTTAAACAATTACACATAAAGAGAACAGATTGGCAGTTGCCAGAGGTGGGGAGCAGGGGGTGGGTAAAGTAGGTCAAAAGGTATAAGCTTTCAGTTATAAGAGAAATAAGTCCTGGAGATGTAATGTACAGCATGGTGACTATAGTTAATACTACTGTACTGAGTATTTGAAAGTCGCTAAAAGAGTAAATCTTAAAAGTCCTCATTACAAGACAAAATTTTGTAACTATGTAAGGTGACGGACGTTAACTAGATTTATTGTGGTGATCATTTTGCAATATATACAAATATCAAATCATTATGTTGTCTACCTGAAACTAATACAGTATGTCAATTATACTTCAACAGAAAAAAAGAAAAAAACATTCTGTATCAATCCGCTCTAAAGAAAACTGGGTTGCTACGGCTTAAGACCCTTGGGGTAGGATTGCCAGAAGAGCGCTGTGAACACGTCTGCCTTGTGGAAGAACACCCATCCTGGAGGCTCAAAGTCAATGCTGTGAAGGCATGAGCCAGCCTTTGTTTAAGAGACGACCACAGCCAGGCACTCTGACCCCAGCCCACCCTCCTCATAAGAAACACCCAGCTGAAAAGATCCTGCACTGAGGACCAGCCCCACAGTGAAGACACAGTTACAACAAATCAACAAATGGTTGTCTACGCTGTTCGCTCCTGTTGCTTCCCATTCAACAGGGGCAAGTGGAGGTCTGCCCCGTGGCTGGCTGCCACCTGTACTTTTGTTCCTCTGGAGCAGGATTAAAAGAGCAGAGCTGGTGCCTGCGGCCTGGCATTATGAGGGTATCCAGCTTGCTGAACAGAAGGCTGTGCATCCCTAATATGCACATGGCTGGAGATGTTCTACGTGTTCTCTAAAAGACTGAGACAAAGGGACTGCCGCAGAGATGCTGTGCCAAAGGACACTAACAGGGCTCAGAGGAGAAGAGCTGGACTGCAGCCTGGCCTGTCTTGGCCGATAACGGTGTACAGGGTGGGGGCCTCATTATCACTGAATCAATGAGATTTGTAGGTGCCAGGTGGCAGCATCGGGGTAGGGTGACGTGAAACACCATTTAAATGAAACGGCTGGCAGCCTTGCAGACCCTCAAACTCTCTCCTTCTTAATGTCAGCCTGATTCTTGATGGCTATTATCTCTATGGCCTGAAGATCAGATGACACCTCATATCCCCGAATCATTCTCCTTTTTAGAAAGATTAGCTGGTGGTAAACCAGAGGGTTAATGGTGTATGTGCAGTCAACTGAGGCTTTTACCCTAATTGATTAAAACTATGAAACACACCGAGAAAGTAAGAGCTTTGGAGCAAGCAGCAGCAGAACAAAGTACTGAGCGTCTTGGACCTCGTCGAGAAACTGAG